TTTGAGTCGGATTCGGAGTTGGAGTTGTCGGAGTTGTACTCAAAAAAATTCAACAACTGGAGTCTGAGTCGGAGTCGTTACTTTTTTTTTTACAACTCCACACCCCTGCTAACTCCCCTTTCCATAGGGAATGAGGGTGACATGAAACCGCAATTCAAAACAGATGCCGAAACTTCTAAATATAGGGTGTTAATGAAGGATACAAAATTTTCTCCGAGGTTAAATTTTCGGAGAATCTACAGCAGAAATGCACAATCGACTTTGTCAAACGCCTTTTTTTAATCTATTGACAAAATAAAACTAGGTAGATTTTTAAATCCCCATAACTTTTGCAAGTCTTAGGGACTGCACTTTTGTGATTATTTTGTAATCAACGCCAATTAAGGATATGGGCCTCCAATTTTTGCATTTAGTAAGATCTCCCTGTTTAAGAATCAGTAAAATTATTGATTTTTTCATAGAGTGACTGATACTTTTTTCTACAAAAAGTATTTCGTAGGCAAGTTCTTCAAAACTTTTTTCTAAAATGTGCCAAAAAGTTTTGTAAAATTCAACTGAAAGTCCGTCATAACCCGGAGATTTTCCGTTTTCAAATTTTAAAAGGGCTTCTTTTAGTTCCACGTCAGTTCGGCAGGTATTTAGATTTTTGTTTTCATCATCACTTAAACGTTTAGTGATGTGTGAGAAGACATAGTTTTGGCTGTCTTAGCATAAATTCGTTTAGGTGTAAATGTTTTTATAATAAGAAACGAGGGAGTTTAGTATTTCATCAGGTTCACTCGACAATGTGCCGCCATTCTTGCGAACTCGGTAATTGACTTGTTACGCTGTTATGTTTTTTTCAAATTATACAAAAATTTTGAAGGTTTTTCTCCTTCTTCGATTAGTTTTTGCTTTGTGCGAAAAAACGCTCCTGGGAACTGGAGCACGAAAAGAGTACCGCGTTTTTGTTTGATGCTATCTAAATTCGGGTTAGCGTTTTGTCGCTCCCGTTGGATTTTGTTTTCAATCCTTTTGATATGTTTTTTGTTTTTCCCACTTTCCTGTATCGATATGTATTGTAATTCAACCCTAACAAAAAGTTTGAAGTCGTCCCACCATTTTAAAATGGACTCATACGACCGTTTTTCAGTTTGCCAATTTTTAATTGAGAGTTCAAATTTTTGCCTATTTACATTTATTTTCTATAGGGAGCAATTTAGTTTCATGTATTCTGGTCCTCTCCTAACTTAACTAAAATTGACTGCTGTTGACACGAACTCGTGGTCGTTGTTTTCGTGGTCGGAAAAAGGATTGCTGAGAATTTTGGTGTATGTTGCTTTTTTGGCGACTTTATCAGGGCAGTAGATTTGGTCGAGTCTACATTTAAACTTCTGATTTCGCCACGTGAATCCTCTTTTGTTTGGGTATATAAAGCGAAAAACGTCAACTAGGTCATACTTAACCTTGGAAGACCCCGAGTTCATTAAAGTCATAAGTGTAATATTTAGCGTTGTTAGTGCCTTGTCAGTGTCGAGAGACAGGATTTCGACCATGTTGAAACCTCCGGCCAACGGGATAAAAAACTTTATTATTTTATATTATAACATTTAATGTTGGCCATACCACTCCTCAAAATAAACATTTTATAGAGGAACTTGCTACTAACTTGCTTACGGGTTTGTTAGTAATAGTAATAACGATTAAGAAAAATCTTTTAATTTTCAAAATAAATATTATATTTTGTGGGGTTTTTTTTATATATATTGTAGTTTATTCCGTCATCCGGCTAATTGCCATACTGACGTCCTCATAATAAATACAAGGTTTAAACAAGAAACGAAAAAAACGTATATTGTGGTAACTTTTGTGGTAACGTATATTGAGGTAATTGTAGTAAACGTATTTTGTGGATTTGTAATTTTTTAATTTCCTTAGCTACTATAGAAAAAATAATCTTTAATATAAATAATATTGGTTAAGATTGCTTGTGGGTTTGTATTTCTTTTTAAATCTTTTTTATAATACTTTTTTATTGAAAAATTTTTTTTTATTAAAATTGAAAAAGTAACTCACAATGTTATGTCAACTTTGTTTAATATTAATATAAAAATATACTACATCTGTGGGAGGACGCGGGTTGCAATGCAAATGAAATATTTGTACTTTATGTTATTTTACTTTTATATAAAAAAATTTATCTTGTAAAAGAAAATATTCCGCTCGTTTAATCAGCTAATTCTACGTTTCTTTAGGATAAAAAGCTCGACTTAATTACACATGTATAAATAGATAAACGCATTGCTAAATATTGCAACTCTCTAAAAAGTAGAAAATGAAATATAGCACAAACATTAGCTATAAATATAATTTTTTTGTACTAAAAGTAGAAAATAAACTTTTTTAATTTAAATTTAATAGTTTCGTAAACTAAAGATTGACAGGTATGTTTCTAAAAAAACATTGTGCAGACCTGACAATCTTTAGTTTACGGAACTATTAAATTTAAATTAAAAAGTTTATTTTCTACTTTTTAGTACAAAAAGATTATATATTTAGCAAATGTTTTTGCTATATTTTATCCGGTACTAAAGCGTGTTCACGAAATAAATGTGAAAGAATAAGCACGTCATTTTTTTTTAGTATTTATATTAAAACCTTTTGAATTGTTTTGTATTTTGTTTACAACGTGTTGCGTTTTATAAAAAACCTATTAGTTTTTGCATTTAACTAAAAATTAGTTTTAAAAATGACAAAAGAAGAAGACATAAAAGCAAAAATTATGCCCAAATATTTGGAAAATCCCAATAGTTGCTACAATTCGATAGCAAAAGCGTCCAAAGAAATAAATCTAGTTGGAAAACTGGTTAACAGTTTTAAGATTTTACCAAGCTTTTCACTTAGGGAACGCGCAAAAGTTTATGGACTTTCTCGTAGTTTTGTTGTAAAAGTTCAAAATAAACATGGTTTTCATTCTTTCAAAGCATAAAAAGTGCCCAACCGTTCTGAAACTCAAAAAAAAAGTGCAAGAACGCCCTGCAGAAAATTGTATGTCAATTTTAATTCTAAATATTTCTGTATTATTCAAGACTATGAAACATATACATAAAGTACGATCATCAACAAATTGCTGGTACTGTCTATTATATTGCCAAATATATAGGAAAAACAGATAAGAAAAATGCACAAAACAAGACAAGTTCGCTAAAAAAAATCCTTGATTTGGCAAGTTATTTGCAGTTGTGGCAAAAAATCAACACCTTATGTTTCTCCGTTGACACTTTCTGGTCAAACATATGTTAAAAGTGTTTACAAAAATGCTTTTTATTTCTCATTAAATCACACGATAACCTTTGTTCTGGACTGATTTAGTGTGAAATGGTAAAACAAAAAACAATGTGAAAATTATTTCTAAAACAGAAAATCCTCAAAACTGTCTAGAACTGAGAGTTATTGAAAAGTACTAAGCTATTATTAAAAGAAAAATGAAAAAGACAAAAAATCTTTGCAGAAATATTTTAGATATTAACATATTATATAAAAAAAAACATTAAATAGTTTTGATTCGTATTCTGTACGCAAGCTTATGGGTACCACCAAAGTAAAAGCTCGAAATTTTGTTAGATTCCAACAAGTATAGTTTGATTTTTTTTTTTAGTAAGTTTGATCTTGTTATATTATTGTATTAAAATTTTTACTTGGTTTGAGATAAAAATTAATTTAGAGTACTTTTTTTAAGTTGATTTTCAATTTTTAAATTTATTTCGTGCACACGCTTTTTTTATAGAATTGTACTTTTTGTATTTTAAAAATTCTAAAATTTCTATAAGAAAACTGTTTTTAATCATTTAAGAAAATTTCTAAAGTTTTTGGAAATCTTTGGTTATCGTTCTTTTGAAGTTGTGTATAATGCCTTTTTTTAGCTAAACTTTCCAAATATACTTTGATATGCATATTTATATATATATTTATTTTATGCTTCGACAAATGTGTACTATGCCTTAGTTCGATTGAGTCTGACATTATATGATGTAAGCTAATTATTTAAAAACCCTTTTCAGCTATTACCCTTTCAGCTATTACCCTATTCAGCTATTACCCTATTAGCTATTATTACTATTAGCTGTTACCCTTTTTTTTATTACTTACAGCTGTTACCCTATTAGCTATTACTACTATTAGCTATTACCCTTTCAGCTATTACCCTATTCAGCTATTACCTAACCTATTACCCCCAACCCTTTTCAGCTATTTTTTTTTTTGCTGCATGGTTCTTATAGTGAACGGACGTGCTTTTTAACTAAGTAAAAAAAAAAAAATGCAAAGATGGCTCCAAGAGAAATTAATGAGATATTCTCAATTTTGAATTCGAATAATAATATATGTGTATATTACTTAAATAATATCGCGGAAATATGCTCTCGTCCAAAAGATGTTATCATTCAAGAATTTTTGCAACTTAAAGAAGCTGATATTTTTAATCTTAGAGTAACACTACCGAAATTATAGAAAATTTTGATATGGATCAATTCTCTTCTATCAATATTACTCTTGACGCTGAAGATCCTGTAAGAAAAAACCTTAGAAAGTTATAAAATTGCAACATGTCTAGATGACATATATTTGATGTCGATATCATTAACAGAAAAACAGCTTCACAAAGATTTTAATAAATTGGTATCTAATTGCAAACAAAATTGTCAACAATTACATGATGTAAGTCTGTTGTCGACCTTAAAAGAACTCGTCGATTGCGTTAAAACTATAAAATTAGAAAACAAGAAAATTAGTGACGACCTACATTTATTACAAGGAAAATATGATGAATTGCAGCAAACGTGCAAAAAAATCGAAAAAAATCAAAACACGTTGCTTTCAAACAGCCGTAGTAATTTATCATTTCAAAAACCGCTAAATACTAAAAAATCTTTAGTCTCTGATTCAATAGAAAATCATTCCTCAAATAATAAAAATACTTTAATAATATACCTTTACACTTCCTTCATGATGAGACTACCATTATGGAGTCCAGTTTAAAAACATACGAAAATGGAAACCAAAATAGAGTCACCTATGCTAAAAAGGTTCAAATGCAGCCACCAATTATTGAAAATAGAGAGGACTGGAAAAAAAATGATTGTTCCTATATGGTAGTCAAAAAAAAACAATGCAACAAATAAAGTCCCAACAGAAAGGTCTATAATGAAGTCTATTTTCGGAAAAAAAGTTGCATTTAACAGAAACTCTATTGCAGGCGAACGTACGGTGCGAGAATCTTATATCTTTGTAGGAGGGGTCTGTAACTCAATGTCGGAAGAAGATCTATCTAATCACATCAAAAATGAAATAGGTTTTGAGCCTATTAAGGTAGAGCTTAACTGGGAAAATAAATACAATCGTTCATTCAAAGTTATCATAAAAAGTTATGAAAAAGACATAATCCTAAACCCTGATATTTGGGAAACTAATATTATTGTTAAACCATTCAGGCTTCATCGTGTTACCTAAAGAAACGAAACACCACAGTGTTTGCAGTTAATACGCTACACTTTGTACAACCAACTCAACAAATATTTTCTAAATCTAAAGAACAACCATCCTTTGCACAGCAACATTCTTACTCAACTCGAATATTAAATTCTAATTCAAAATGGTTAGAAACATAGAAAATAAAACCTTTGAAAATATTTCTTTTTGTGCATACAACTGCCAAAGTTTTAAATCGAACTCAATTTATATTTCCAAACTGATCAAATCATTTGATATTATTTTTCTATCGGAACATTGGCTTTTGAATATTGAACTTTTTGTGCTAAAAAACATAGCATTGCCGACACATAAAGTATTTTTTCATGTGGCAGAAAAAAAAGCATTTGAAGACCATTTGGAGGAAACGCATTCATTATTAAAAAAGATGTTTTACTGTCTCCTCTCATAATCTATGAAGATGACAATATTCTCGCTATTAAAGGTAAAAATAAGTGTCACAATCTAGTCTTTATTGGTATTTATCTCACATCATGTCGAAATAACGAGGAATCCCTTTCAAAGTACGAACAACAATTAAATCTAATCACTTCAATTGTAAAAAACTACGAAGATGTAAGTGAATGTATTATTGCTAGAGATTTTCAGTCTTATCCCGAAACACTTTACGATTCTAAGATCCGTAATAATAAAAAACGCAATAAATTCTCTAATCATCTAACTAATTTCATTAAATCAAATAAGCTCTCATTTATCGATATAATCAGTGGCGCTGGTGCAACATACACCTATCAGCATAAAACTCTATCTAACTCATCGTATATCGATCACATCGCAGCTCTAAAAGAGTCATCCTTATTATTTATAAATACAAGCGTTATTCCTCCTTCTCCTTTTAATTTTAGTGATCACTTACCAATCGCTACAAATATCGTCGTTACACATACTAATCTATCAACCGTAATAAATAGCATAATGCATAAATATAATTATATTTCAAAATATGCATGGAATAACGAAAAATTCATTAACATATATAATCATAACCTCTCCGTAGCTTTCAACTACTACACCTTCAATGAAGAAGAAATCGAACAAGAAAAAACAAACATGCAAAAAAATCCAAAATGCTGCTTTGTTATCAGTTAAGCAGTGCTTTAAACAACAAATCTGTAAGTATTCCAAATCATGGTGGACAACGGACCTTGAAAAATGCAAAGAAAATCTTTCATTTAACTATAAACAATGGCAAAAATCTAATTATAATAAAACACAAGAATGCATTGAATACAAAAGATACATCTTTTCACGCAAAAACTTCCGTAAAGCAGTTAAAGCAGCTCACAACAAAAAGATCCACGAAAAAACTATAAATATTGAAAATCTTCGAACCACTAACCTCAGAGGTTCTGGGATAACATCTGTAAAATCAAAACTAAAGCAACAACTCGATTATTTACAATTAACAAATCGCAAAGTATAAAAGATATCGTTCAAGAATTTAGACAACATTTTCAAACTCTTCTCAATACGCCTCTTATTTTAAATAATAACCATAATCCTTCTCAAATTCCATCTCTAAGTAAAGAGCCTAATTCACTAATCATAACATCAGCTGATATTATAAATTGCATCTCACAATTAAATAGTGATAAGTCCCCAGATAGCTATGGGTTAAGTGCTGAACACCTTAAAAACTATCATAATAATAATCTTCTTTTGTGGCTTGCTAAATTTTATAACAGTATTCTATCGAATGGAAAAGTACCAAATGATCTATCAACTTCAACAATTATTCCACTTGTTAAGTCATATAAAAAATCTCTTAATAATCCAGATAATTATCGAGGAATTAGTATTTTACCTATCGTTACTAAACTTCTAGAGTATCTAATACTACGAATATGTCCTAGTATAACAGATAGCCATTCCCATCAATTTGGTTTTAAAAAAAAACAGTTCTACTCTCCACGCAGAATTTTTACTGAGCGAAACTGTTATGCACTATAAAAACAATAACACGCCTTTATATATGTGCAGTTTAGATGCTAATAAAGCTTTTGACACTTGCAACTGGGATTTGCTATTTGAGAAGCTGTATTTCCAAAAAAAACTTCCGTTGTCTGTAGTACACACAATACCATCCCTTTATCATTCTGGTTCTGCAAACATATCCTATCAAGGTGTTACCTCAAATCAATTCAGTCTATCACAAGGGGTGCGACAAGGGTCTATTCTATCGCCACATTTATATAACATTTATACTGAAAGCATCCTAAATGAAATTGTCTCAGAATGTAAAGTAGGATCAACAATAAATGGAATTTATAATCGTGTAATTGCATACGCAGATGATGTAATTTTGCTAAGCCCCACAATCTCTGGTCTGCAGGAACTGATTAACAGATTTCAAACATATGGAGTAGCAAACTTTATCAAGCTAAACACTGAGAAAACAGAATTTCTGATTTCTGGAAAAAGTTATATTCCTAACAACGTTGTTAAAATTAATGGAGTTTCTATATATCTTCAAAATAAATTAAAACATCTGGGTTTTCAATGGGATAACGATACCAGCAAAAATAAAATTGCAACACTCCGAAAGAAAAATTTAAATGAGCGTATAACTCAGTTTCAATCAGTTGCAAAAGCTCTAATCGACAGTGGGATTCGTTACTGCAAGCCATCAATAATTGTTCATCTGTACAATACATTACCAGTGCCGAAGCTTATATATGGTCTTGAACTATGTAAATATGATACTAATTTTCTCAGCAAAATAGACGCTGTTGGAAGAGCAGTCTTAAAATCATTTTTCTGTATTTCGAAGTACAGTAAAAATTACCTTCATTCTTTTTTTAAAATAGAAGATATCTCAACTATTCTCCTTAGGAACAAAGTTAATCTTTTTATCAGACTGCTGAAAAATCAAACTTGTTACTCACTGATAATTAATCAAATACAGGAAACACAGAATAAAAAATCCTTTACAAACGAAGTATTTGATGCATGCAACACACTTGATTTAAATTTCATACAGTGCATGTTAAATGGCAAAAAAATTAAATTGACGCAACCCATCGTAGAGCTACAAACTAATATTATGCTAATATTGAAAGAAACGTTCCAGTTTTGGAATTTGAAAGAAAAGAGAGAGGCGTTTAAAATCTTGATAGAGGAGAATGTTCCTAGAACTCTGTCCCAATAATATGTGGAAAACAAACCGGCTGTTTATAAGCATTTATTGCTAAAAACTACAAGAGCCGTGTTGTTTTAGCTGATTTTTAATTTATTGTTTGACTATTTAAATATTATTTTACCTGTAATTTACTACCGGGTGAATAAGAGAAAATATAATAATAATATATTATAAACGTTTTTATTACTTTTGGTTAACCACAAGTAATACAAACCTCAAAAATATTGAACAAAAATACTCATATATCAAATAGAAAATTACTTTGCCGCCAAAGTTTCCAAATTAGAACCTACGGCGTATTGATTGATACCAAGTCATTTGAATTAGAGTAACTGGTGGTGCGGAACTCAGGGCGTAGCGTCCCTGCTCATTAGCGAAGCTCCATAATTAACAAACGTAACATTCAATCGAACTAGCCAACTATTCTAATAATTGAAATTATTATATATTATGATGCACGTAGCGTTACAAAGAAGCGTCATAATATTTATTATAGGGATCGTCCATAAATTACGCAACGCAAAAAATATTTTAAGAACAGGAGTAGGAGATATTAGGCTCTTTTACGCGGCAATTTTCATTTACAGGGTTATTCATTCTTATATGTGCGTCTATTCATTTTTACATGCGCCTTTATTCGTTCTTATATGCGCATTTATTCATTTTTATATGCTCCCTTTATTCATTCTTATATGCGTTTTACAAAAGCAATTGTAAAAAAGCAATTTGAGCAAAAAAAAATCATTTAAGCAATTTGTTTTGAAAAAAAAGTTTATTTTTTCAAAACAAATTTTTCTTATTTCCAGGTAAATTAGGTTAAAACTACTTAAAACGAAGACTTTTTACATTCGACGATGGTTTATTTAATTTAGTATTAGTTCTTTGTAATTTTATTGTTAAATTTCTTGATTGATTAAGTTATTATTTATCTAATTATTTATTTATCTAGATTTAAATTTAATTATTTATAATTATTATTAATATCAAATTATACATCCCTATGTATGAAATAGAAAATAGCAGTACCAATCGTAAAACAAGGAAAAATGTTACAAAAGAGCACATTGAAATGCTTAAGCATTTAATTTAAAGAAATCAATCTACAACAAGCATTTTCACTTCTCTTAATTTATCAAAGCGCGCAGTTCAAAATTTTTTCGTTAAGTTAAACAGAGGATAATTCGACGACATGACTGCATTCAAGTCGTTTTTTGATTAAAAAAAAAACGAGGTAAACGACCTATAAACTCTCAAATAAAAAATATTATCGAATTATGCGTACAAGAAAACAATCTTTGCACGCAAGAAGCAGTAAAAAAATATCTTTCTGCAGCAGGCTTCAACATGTCTCAGTCTACTATTTCAAGAAAACTCAAACGCTCAGATTTATCATGAAAACGTGTTGTGCATGTGCCGAAGAACGAAACCCAACACCAGTTATTAATGCAAGCTATGCATTTGCAAGCGAAATAAGCGGGACTTCAGGTGAAAAATTTATTTATTTGGATGAAACTGGATGTGCACACTAACAGCACATATGGTTATTTGCTAAGAGGTACGCCAGCAATTTTACAGTCACCTGCAATTCGTGGTAAGAATGTTAGTTTAATTTGTGCTGTTTTAACAATGCGAGTGCTTGCTTATGAAATAAAAACTGGAGGCCGGAATGCAGATTCATTTTGTACTTTCATAACTACAATGATGGCACCAGCGATTAGGAATGCAAATGTTAAAAGCGCCGGTGCTTGTTATGGACAATTGTAAATTTTACTGGAGTCTTTCTATAAGGCAAACACTGGCCTCTCATGGTATAGCTATTAAGTATTATATTACATGGTATAGCTATTAAGTATTACAGCTATTAAGTATTGATATTAATAATAATTATAAATAATTAAACTTAAATCTAGATAAATAAATAATTAGATAAGTAATAACTTAATCAATCATGAAATTTAATAATAAAATTACAAAGAACTAATACTAAATTAAATAAACCATCGTCGAATGTAAAAAGTCTTCGGTTTAAGTATTTTTAACCTCGTTTACCTGGAAATAAGAAAAATTTGCTTTGAAAAAAGAAACTGTTTTTTCAAAACAAATTGCTTAAATGATTTTTTTTTTTGTTCTAATTGCTTTTTTACAATTGCTTTTGTAAAACGCATATAATAATGAATAAAGGCGCATATAAAAATGAATAGACGCGCATATAAGAATGAATAACCCTGTAATTTAATTTCCTATTTTGATCGTTTATTAAAATTAAGACTCTGCGAGGGAAAACTTTTTATCTTTTTTTGTTTTGTTTTTTGTGAAACTTTGCGTTACGTAATTTATGGACGATCCCATATATTATAACGCTTTTTACGTAGATTTATTGAATTAAAAACAACTAAAATTCTTTTAAAATACTTTTGATTACTCGAGCAATAAATGTTTGTGAAACATGATTAACTATTTTTTTACTTTTTTTGTGTGTGTAGGTTTTTAATCCTGTAGAAAGTAAATTATTCTTAAAAAAAGAATGACAAAGTAATGTACATAATAAACAAAAATAATTTATAATATAAACATATTGATTTTATCTAACTTTAAATGAGCATTGTCTATCGAAATTGAAGGATTAGATTTCAATCATAAACATACAATTCTTTTTGGCAATTACAGCTTCTGATATCAGGCAATGGTTTTACATAAAATGTAAATGCACAAACTAAGATGATGGGATGACAATTTTTAAACATTTTAAATTTAACTTTTCTTTAGTTTTTGCTACATGCATGTATGCATTTATGTACATTCTGCCACAAAAACATATTGATACAGTCATCCATATGAATGACTCTATCAATATGTTTTTGTGGCGGAAGTCCATAGTTACTTTAAAATCTGTTGGGCTAGACAATGTTTTCTCTCAAAGAGCCAATGGTAGCACAACGTGATATTTTAAATCGACAAAGTGCATTACTTTGCGTTGATTCAAAGTCGTATTTTTTTGTTGACACAATGATCTATTTAACGTTGATTCAACGAAGCATTTTAAGCTAGCTTAACGATGCAAATGTTGGAATTAAATTTTGTTCATGTAATTGTGCTTATATAAATATCTAAATTCTCTACTCTAGCCAATGCCTTGCAGAGATGTTAATGATAAATACAGCTGTTTGTTTTTATATTATTTTTTACAGTTTTGGTGAACTGCTCCACGTACGTTTTTCGCACTGTTCCATGAGGCAATCGCCTCCCTCTTACATGATTTAAAAAAACTTTTTTTCCAACATATTTATAACCGATTGAACTATAACTTTTCCGTCAAGGAAAGATTCATTGTAAATAGATGCATTTCTTTTAGTATGGTGACTTTGATTATGCAAATCAACAAATCTAATAAAATCTTCTCGAACTGACCCAACAGGCATTAAATAGCGTGATATTAATTGTCATTTGTGACTAATGTGATACATCAGTTGTTTCGTCAAACATAATAGCATAATAATTTGGTTCTCTAACACAACTCACAATTTTTTCACACATTTCTTCTCCACAGATTCAATTAAAGCATTTTGTATAGTTTTGCTAATGTATGGTGCAAAAGCTCTAGCTGTTTTCAAATAATTTTCTAAATTTAAACCGCCACAGTTTACTGTAAATTTTAGCAACTCTCGAAAATTACTTTCATTTGTTATCACATCAGAATCGTCATCGTCTAAGTCTTATAAGCTGCCTTTATCTCTGTGGCCTCCACATCTTTGATATGGATACTTTCCTTGTTACATGTAGAACAGTATTAACCCTCGGAGTTTTATCAGTT